TTTAATATAAGGAAACTATATTATTTATGTTCCTTTATGTTCTTAGAATATATAAAAATATTATCCAAATAATATGCAAAATAATTATCTAAATATTTTTAAAATATCTCTTTTATTAAATATTATAAATCAATTAGAATATTTGTAAGTTCAAATGGTACATCATTGTATTTGAAATTGCCATACTTAATCCAAAATATAGTCTTTTATTTATTTATTTTTTTAATATATTTAAAATTATAAGCTCTATTTAAATCTATTTTAGTATAGGTCTTAGTTTCACTTATTTAATCAAAAAAATTCAATATCACATAATCACAATTTTTGATGGTCAACTTGTTAAGTCCACAATAATCTATATAAATTTGGAAGGATTCAACTTTTTTCTTTATAAAGAAGACTGGTATATCTATAAGAGACTTTGAATGTTGGATAAAATTCTTTGCAAAAATTTCAGTAATTTTTTCTTTTAAAATAACAACTACATTTTGCAACAAGTTTCAAGTTCTTCCAAATCATAAGGTTGGTATTTTAGCAATACATCAATAGTCTTCTTTTCAATCACATCTTGTTATTCTTTATAATGCTAAATCTATTGCAATCCTTATTTGAATAAAGACTTGGTATTGCAAAAATAAAATAAAAATTTCTTATCTTTTGCAACTAGCATAAAGGTTTAGGCTATCACAAATCAAGATTGATATAGTTTGGTGTTATTAGAATTAGATATTCAAGTGATCATTCATAATTTTTATTTAATATTAGGATTATATAATTTAAATCAAGGATGGCTAGATACCACTAGATTTTAATGACATTAAATGATATTGAAGACAATCTTAGATACTTAATCTTCAATAGTTTGATTTCTTCTATGATATCTTCAAATGCAAGTCGTTGCCCATCAATGATTTCTATTAGAGCTGGTTGAATCTTCTTTGAAAGTATAACTTCTTATTGTAATGCATAGTTTTTACTTATAAAACATACTAAAGATCTAATGTCTAAAAGTACTTGAGTTAAAAATTTATGATTTGAAGTTGTGATAACTATATAAAATTAAGGATAGGATGTAGGATTTGGTGGTAGTATGAGACATATATTTAATAGTCTAGAGTTGTTTATTTGTAAGGTCCTTATTGCAACTAAATGTCTTTGTTTTTTGACTATTTCACATTTGAATTTATGTTCTTTGTTTTAAATCTTGTTGATTTGATGTAACAATCTTGTACATTATGAATTGTTTTTTTACAATATAAACAAAAATAAATTGTGATAGCATTTCTTTTTCTCTTTTGGTGTCAATCACTTAATTTAATTTACAAAAATTTGCATAGATTTTGGCGTTGATGAATATGTTTTTAAAAACTTAGAAGTTGTCATGACTTGATTTATTTTTCTTTAATCAAATCTTTGTTTTTGACGCCCTTTAAAGACTCCATTGTTGTATGTAATGACTTTAGCAATAAATTATTCCAATGATTTTTTTTTCTACAATGTAATAATAAATCTTTATTGTTATCTTGAAATCCATACTATAATTAATTAATAATGACTTTATCATTTCAATTCTTGTTGCAGGCAAGGAATTAGAATTTCGTAGCATAAATAGTAGCCAATTGTGATTCTTATAGCAAAGATTAGAGTTTTATCTTTTCTATCCCTTCTCAATTGCTCTTCTTATAATCTTTTTTGTAATTAAATATTTTATAGTTTTTATTTTTTTCTTGACTTATCTAAAGAAATATTATAATAAAAAAATTATTATATGTTAAAAGAATAAAAAATCTATCTATTAGAAGAAAATTATATACTTGTTAAAAATAATTATTTATTATTTATGAAATATTAAGTTTTTATATAAATAGTAGTTGTAAAAGAATTTTAAAGTAAAGTCATAACATATAAATATATTTGAAAAGAAAAATAGTGATGTAGTACCAAAAATTTGATCTTATTTTTGCATGATTGACCTTAAAGAAGAACTTCAACTTCCATTTGGATCAATTTACAATTTGTTGTAGAACAAGTCAGATGCTAGCAAAGAACATAATAATAAATATCTTAGAAAAAAATATATTTGGCATTCAAAATCTATGGTAAGTGACCAAATTAAGCACCTAAACAAAAATGATGGATCTTTACAAATATAAGTAGATTATTATGAACTCAACAAATTAACCATCAATTTTTATTTTATTTTATTTTTATTCTATTTTTATTTTATTTTATTTTATTTTATTTTATATTTGAGCTTTATCACCTACTAATAGAAGCTAAATTCTAGATAAAAATAGATCTATAAGTAATCTATAATTTAATGTATTTTTAAAAAGTACATAAATAAAAGATTTTATTTTAAATTAGATATGGCTAATTTGAATATAATGTCATGGCTAATAGACTTATAAATGCTCTTTTTATATAATTAACTTGCAAGGACAAATTTAAATAGAATTAAGATATAAAAAAAAAAAAATTAAGTTAAAAAAAAAATTAAAACTTATGTTCAATTTCACATCTTTTAGATTTTTTACATATATCCACTATAAAAAAAAATTGCATCAAGTTTTGCACTACATAGAGTATTATTACAAGTAGATGCATAGGATGTATTTTATTCTTTTATTAAAAAATATTAATAACCAAGATTAATTATAAGACTCACAAAAAATTACTGATATAGATTTATTTTTAAAATAATCCAATTAATTAAAAGTTTCTTTTAATTTATATATAGTTTATATTAATCACAAAATATTGATCAATCATTCCAATATGTATTAGAATATCTTTGTTATAGTGTATATATATATATATATATATATATATATATATATATATATATATAAGTAATAGTGAATAAGACTTGTTGAATGCCTTATCTATATATTTCCATCTTGCCCATAATAAAAGCAATTCTACATATAATCAACAAAAAATTGTGCTTTTGAAACTAAAATAATTGCAACTTTCACCAACAAAGTTAATAATGCCACTTAATCACTTTTCTTGATGAAATTATTTTAGTATATAAATAGGCCTTCTTATTTTAAAAATTAAAAATTTATTTTATATTTATTTTAGTAAATTTAATTTTGAACTAATCTTCTCTATTTTAGAAGATATTTATATAGCCTAAAAGATCAAGAACAATTTGGTTTATTTTAAATATAACATGACTTCTTAGTAATATGACATTTTGGATATAAGAAAAATTTGGAATTCATTTTATAAATGATTTGGTGGCATCTAATATTAAAAGCTAACAAAGAATTTTTTTAATCTTAAAATACTTATTTTCAAGCAAAGTATTTATGCCACTGATCCTACAAACTACTTCAATCTCTACTTATTCTAAAACAACTTATTCATCTATTTCAATTAAGTTTATTATCAATTTTTTAATCCTAAATTTTATTGACTCTACTTATAAAAATACATTATTTGATTAAAAAAACACATTTTGCACTTTATATATAAAAAAAAAAAATTGATAAAGAAACAACTGTATTTGTTTTTCATAATATTCATTGAGATAATAGATTTCTAGCTTACATTATATTAAATCAAGGATCCAAATTTATATCAAAATTTTAGAAGATATTTTTTAATATATTAAAAATTAATATTAATTTATTTTAAAACTTTTGTTTTCAAATCGATAGATAATTAAAACATATCAATTTAATATTGGAGTAACATTTGCACTATTAATTATCACCAAGACAATTGGATAATTAACTTGCCATAAATAAAAATTTATCATATTAATATGATACATTTCTTAACTTAAGAAATACCATATTTTTCCAATCATAATTACTACATATAATTGTCTTTAACTAATTAAAAGTAAAAAGTCCAAGAACAAGGGATTTGGCAAGTAATTTATTTGAGCTTTATGTGACATTAAAGGTATGGCAAAAGAAGTTTAAAATAACAAAAGCCAATACTAACATCTTTAGAAAAGAAAATCTACACAAAGCTAGTAATAAGGTATGGATACTTTGTTGTAATATCATGACTAATGAACATTGTGATAAAAAGGCATCAAATTGGTGTCCAAAAGTACAAACAATCATGCATATGATAGATATTTAGGTAAAACTTACTTTGATGCATCCAAATGAATATATTTGGTACTACATCATTTAAAGGATTCCACGCTTATGGACAAAAATGATTCATAAATGATATCATATAAAGTTTGTAAATAGATATTTATTTTTGGTCAATATAAATCTTCATGCCTTTTTTTTATTTTAGGTTTTAACTGATTTTAATAGAAGAAACCGTAAGGATACTTTTAACATGCAAAGTCAAGAAACTCAAGAAATTTATATAATAACCCAAAAAACTTGTTTGTTAAGAAAAGACACATAACTGGATATTTTGAAGCAGATTCAAACCTACTAAATAACAACCCCTCCAATAATCTATTCTTTCTTGGATGTAAGGCCTTAGAATGGCAAGGTCCTTATATCACATGAGAATTGTTTTTATATTTATATTTTTTTATTCTAGTATTTATTTTGGTGATTTCCATTAACTTGAATAGAAATTTGAACATCATCACATTGTATTAATTCCATATAATCTAGAAATAAGTCTTTGTTTGTAACTCCTGATTATCTTAATTGAAGCTAGAATTTCATAAAATAGCTTGAAACAAAATTCCATCTCTAATTTGTATTACTTCCAATATTCCTGATACTTTAAAATAGACAAGGGCATACTATGTAAGTCTATCAATCTTCTGTGGAAAGATCTACTTTCTTATGACTCACCAAAAATAAATTAAATAAAACTAAAAAAAAGTTTAAGATGCTTAATTCCACAATTAATGCAGTTGGACAACTCAAGTCAAAAACATCCCGAAGTACCATCATAGGATGTAGAAGAAAGGAGGATGCAGAAGAAAGAAACTAGACATCCAAATGAGTCATATACACACACTTCCAAATACCTTGGAGTGGAGGATATTCACCAAACTGCAATTGTGAGAAAGTAGAGGTCCACTATTTAAGATAAATTGATTTTCGGCAATGTTAACATATGCAAAGACACACGATCACCACTCCACCACTGCCACGCTTATCTACCTCCTAACCCATTTTACAATTATCAAGTCAGAAAGAGCAGCTTAAATGCTCAAACAATCTGACTTCACAAGTGAGGTCATCTGGCACTTCCACAAGCGCTTGGACAGACTTGCTGAAGAATTACTCAAACAGAACAACCTCGCAGCCAGCTTCCACAACTTCGAAACGCCATGTGACACTGGACATTATCCGTGAAGTGTAACTCCGTGGACTAAACTTCATAATTTGAAATCAGTTGACTCTTGGCGCATAATTTGATGTCAACTTTGGCATCACCTGACGGCCTCTTAACAGCGTTTCCACCTCTCTGTCAAATAAGAGATTAAAAAAGTTATTCAGTATGTTTAGCATAATTGATAAAATGCATGAAAGGAAAGCAAAGAGTTGGACCTAACATAAGACATCTTTTGAGTACGATTGACACCTGAGGAACCTACGTATTTTGGATAACAATGCATCAGATTCGACAACAAAACCACCATATCATTCGCGAGTCAACATTTTCCTAGTTGCTTATCTTCTCATAGTAGAAAATTTTGTTTTAGAACCGCCACGAGCTGTTCATTAAAAAAGTATTCATGCTTGTACCTAAAGCTTCTGCTTGCCATTATGAGAGTTATTTCTTTTGTGGTGCCTTCTTATTTGAGGACTTCTTTTCTGATGATTTTTTTTCTGGGGGTGGAGCTATTGGATTAACATTTTCCTGAAAAATCGTGTAACAAGCTTTAATAATTAAGATCACTTTCAGCTTCACTTATTCGTGAAATATATTATTTTTCTTTCGTTATTATGTATGTCCTTCCCTTTCTTCAGACTTGATTCGACCATACTGAAACTCTTATAACACTGTAAGATTTCATTACCATCATGATCTATGCAGCCTTATAAGTACTCTAGGGTCCCTGATTAGACTTAAAACATAGAATGTACATCTCTTACCTTAATACAAACGTAAACATAATGCAAATCAGGGTCTTCAAGCTTGAATGTAGGTCCTAATGTCAGATCTTCTCCAAGAGATACAGGTTCGGTGATGGGCCGAGAGGTGCCCTCGTGCGCTCTCTTGGATCCAGGTCTTGCTGCGGTGACACCAATCACAATCCATTAATTGCGACGTATCACGCATTACAAATCAAAGTTTGATAATTAAAATAACGTCAATACACGTGCTCCTTCGACAGCTATCTTGTGTTTTACGCAAACAAACTCTCAAAGACAGTGCACACCTACGAGGAACCTACTGTATGACATCAACCTCACATTTTATGTACAAAATGACCTAACCAAGAGATTTCTGTCATCTTGATAAAAGTCATATGTGATACCCTCAAGGCAGACGCAGAATTATCAGCAACTTGCAGCAAATAAAGTTCGTTAGCTTGTCCTAAATTTTCTTCTTGAGCACCAAAATAATAAGCAAAGCTTGGAAGTAAAAAATAAATAAATTAAATCTAAAAAAATTTAAAAAGGAAAAAAAGGAAAAAGAAAAAAGAAGTTACTAAGCATACGTAATACGTGCAGTTTGATCTCCCAAGGAGCTTCTTCCGACTTCAAATGGGGTATTCGCACTCTAGGATCACCATACGTGATCTGTTTTAAAAAACCATATCAATAAACAGAGCCATTGTAAACAGTTAAAAAAGATAAAACTGACCAAGAGATGCAAATTGGTGCACAACTTCTCGTATCAGATACTGGATGTAAGAGTACGGTACTAACACTTATTTGAATACTTCACGCTAAGTACTGTGAAACAGAACTTACAAGCATGTAAACACCTCCAGGTTTCAAGACTCTGCACCCACGCAGACCCACTGTAAGTTAAGCGTTGTAGATGACACACACGCGAACACGCTTGACATTAGTATGTTCGAGGGAGCTTTCTAGACAAAATAAATTGCATCTATCCAAAAAAAACACTTCATGCTTCCATCATGTTCTTGTAGATACTCAACACTCAAACGGTGTAGAAAATTGAAGAATCGAGAAAATACGCTTTCTATTCCGAGCGTATTAAATAAGATTTAAGAATTCCTAAACTACTCATATTAGGAACAGGTCATTAATAGCGTAAAGTCACATGTGCCTACAGAGCAAAGATGATTCGAGGGATAACCTGCGAACTTCCTTAATCATGGATGCAGCACTTGTTGGTGCACTGGATCCGCACTGTTAACATCATTCACAATCCACTACCGATTCATTACATGAAAATAAATGGCGGGTGCGTCAACATATGCTCACTCTAAAATAAACAATGTAGCAACAAGTCATTCGTATACAATACAAGCTGTTGCGAACTCCACAAAGACATTGACGTTGAATAGTAACTTTTCAGTGACTCACTACTTCAACTGTGGAATACTGGTAAAAGCAGACACCAAGAGAAAAAGATGATTACCATCAATGAGTCGAACATGCCTGCACGCATGTTACCAAGTAAACAGAGTCAGCCCACATGAGTAGCATCAGATATAAGTATAGACGTAGGATTATTTAGTAACGTTGGACAGTTGGAAATGAGGCAGTTTCAGAATAAAGTACACGATAAGTAAGACAGACTTGAATAAGCAAGCACATACCTTTATCCAGGATAGAATCGAATTCTCCATCTTTAAAACCGAGTGATCGAACATCCATTCTCTGATCTGGAATCGCAAGAACCAAATGTGCTACATGTAAGCGACCCTCCCCAATAAAATCACCCTTACTAAGAAAGTTGTTAAAATGGTCCAGCTTGCAACCCCATGAGAAAACTTTGGACTTTTCTATAACTGTGGTACTAGCTAAACAACCACACTCCTAAAAATCTAAACATCAAGTACAAAGTGACAGAAAAGCAACAGAAATCAGGGGAAGAATAAATTGGAAATTACATTGAAGTTGTGGCATGTCCTTGTATTTCTCTATCATAGCGTCAATCACAACCTGAGAAATGTCGATATTCATAATAGTTTGATAGCCGTCGTTTACCATGTCCTCTGATATGACTGTTCCCACAACAACAAGCTAGAACCTGCCTTTGAGAACCTTCAAAGAGAAACCTTATCTAAGACCAGCCAAAAACGTGATTCGGCATAGCTTAGTGAGGAAGTTTCTCAAGGAAACACTATGAGGTATAGATACTCCTGAAACAACAACTTATTAACACTCCCCGAACACGGGGAACTAGACAAAAAATCAAAACTCCCATATCGTATAACACAATATCAAATTGCACTAGGAGGAATGTGAAAAGTCAATAAGTGACTAGGATTCACACAAACCTGCATTTCCGCAGCCAACCATCAACAAATTGTTTGTCTTAGGCATGTACATGTTGATAAGGGGCGCCAAACCACCATATCGCTGGTACCAATCGAATGATCCAACATCTTGGCTGTACCTATTGTCCCAGTAGGACTCATCCCCGTAGGCCTGTGGCTGCCCTTTCTCTTTCGTCATACTTGTATTACATACAATGCCCCCTCAACCTGAAAGCCAAACGCCAGCTTCTCGATCAACTACTGCTATACTCTAAACATAGATCAGTGGAGTGCAGTTGCGAAAACAGACAACGCACATTCGCCTCTCCCTTCATTGGAGATAAAACAACAGCACTTGGCTCATAACTGATATTGAAAGGTTTCGCATTTCGGATATAAACATGGTGAGGTTCTGCAAGTCCAAACTTCATGACTGAGTTCGTTCGGCATTTGCGCTACTAGACCACTTTCAGGGTAAAATTGTTACGACACAAATTAACATCTCCATATCCACACCCGACTGTTGCAGTTAATAACAATTTATTTACACTGGCTCAGCAATTACACTTGGCAACCACAAGGCAACTAGCACACAGTAGATAACTACGTTTGCCATCGTCTTCATACTCACATGCCGCGCTCGCACATAGGCCTCACTATTTAACCTCCACCAGAAGCACAACCTCATTACCCAAAATTTGCTCATGTCAAACTGTTAACTACGTATTTACTAAGGAAAATCTCATGGAAAGAAATAATAAATAAATAAAGCACTCTCATGATGGTTCAAAGCCCAGACCTAATAACCGTTCTTGGCATTCAAAATCACGAGTATTGAAGGACTTAAATTAAGTGATATGCCTGAAGCCTTTGAATATGATCCATCAGCAACAGGTTCTACACTCCGAGGAGAACTGGACGTCTCACATGCTCACCAAGTAGCAATACTATCAAGAATACCAAACGTATACAGTGCAAGACAACGCCCAATCAATCGCATGAATAATCGGGGGAAAGTCTGAATTTAGACGTGAAATATTCCAAAAACCGATCTGCCTCACAACGCCGCGATCGATCGATACCACTTCCAAAAAACAAAAACAAAATCCTTCAAAATGTGCATCTCTAAATGCTACACAAAGCCAATGATCACATCCCACCATTGTGAGCCAAAATCACGTAGCACGCTCACAGAACCACAACACACACCTCCGCATTGCTCACCCCATAAATCAACACCACAGCTCCCACTTCCACAATTCCAAATCAGGAAAAGATAAATATAAACATAAAAATAAACTAACACCACGACACCTCTGTTCTTCCTCCTCCACTTCTCTCTTTCATGCTTTTCCTTTCAACCCCAAGCTTCCATCTCCACACCGTCAACCATTCATTTATTCCTTCACTCATTCACCACGGCAGTGAGCAGCATTGCCCAAACAGGCACATCCGCATCACACAAGCACATCTCGCTTCACAATCCCGCACCTGTCCATCAGTTTCCTCTCCCTCCACACTCAAAAAAACCCTAGAAACCTCAACCAACGCGAACATCCCACAACGTCACCTCCCGCAAGCATTCCAGCCACACTCACCTCACCGTTCGCAGGCCTTCCGTAACCGAATCGTGTCCCGTAACTTCTCCAGGGCTCCACTCCAGCTGCTCACCCGCGTGAGAAATACGTCGCAATTTGGTGCCTCGCCTGCACGAAGCGTATGGGCAAATCGAAGCTTCGATGTCAAGAAGACGCAAGCGGGTACTCATCCACGACCAAGGCCAAATGCGTAATCGTGGCCGTTGGTGGTTCTGATGGCCGGATGGCCATGAGCCAGTTTTGGGTTACGGGCACGTGTTTGGGTCATGCTTCCCTTAAAACCGTTGTTTTAGAATCCAACATCTCATCGCCACCTCGAAGTTATATTGGAGTGTGAGAACTTCTTAAGGGATGACGAGGCGCTGCTTCATTGGCTGATTTCTCCAATCAATGCATGAAAATGAAGGGAAAAAAGAAGAAGTAGTAGTGACCTTACACATGGGTGGACATCATGCATGGTGAGTTTGTTTGTTGTTGGGATGTGATACAAGGGGGAGGAGATGATGGGGATTTAAATTTTTCTTAACTTTCATAATAATCATATTAAAAATAAATAAATAAATAAATAAATAAATGAAAACAACTTGTATACTTTATTAGATAAAATTTGATGATTTTATGGTCTCAATATAAAGATGATTAGAAGAGTTAATTTTATCTTTTTTCTTTTAGTTTGACAAAACTATGTTTAAACTTGTATTAAATTTAAACGTCTTCCATTACTTATTATTAAAACTTAAACAATAAAAGTATTTAATATAAGCAATCTATATTAGATTGCTTTTTTAAAGGTGTTGTTTTGCTTAAGTTTCTTCTTTTAGTTTGACAAAACTATGTTTAAACTTGTATTAAATTTAAACGTCTTCCATTGCTTATTATTAAAACTTAAACAATAAAAGTATTTAATATAAGCAATCTATATTAGATTGCTTTTTTAAAGGTGTTGTTTTGCTTAAGTTTCTTCTTTGCATCTATTTCTTATAATTATCCATCTATAACTACTTAGATTGGATATATATATATATATATATATATATATATATATATTATCTAATTAAGCCACACCATTCTACTTAGTGTATGTTTGGAAAAAACATAAAAAAGAAAAGAAAGAAGATGGGAGGAGAAATAATAGATATATTTTTTACAAACTTTTTTACAAGATCCAACTATCTTTATCAATGTTTTTTTTTTAATCTTACTTTTTGTTACTTTATCATAAATAAATTTTTTATTTTTTTATTAATCTAATATACATTTTTATTTTGGTTTTTTTATCTATTCATGAAATAATTAATTTTTTTCTTTTACTAATTATAATTCCATTAAAATAAGATTTCTTCATATGAAGGTCTTTCATAAAATTTGGCTAATTGATATCAATCCTCATGTTATATTAGATTTATTTATTGAATTTAAAAATATAATTTTTTAATTATATAATTTATAAATAATATATTTTAATATTTATTATCTTTTATGCCAATCAAATTTGATATAAATTCCAAAAAACTAAAAAATCAATACATTTTTGTGTCATTCAAAAAGACTAAAAAAATATTCAATGGTGGCATAATATTAGACTAGAATGGCTATTGCCAAAGACAAAAAGACTAAAAAGTCTTAAAACAAGACTAAGGACTAGAAAGGCATTGATAAGAGTAAAAAAGACTTCACTCTTACTTCCATATATACTATCTAGTTAGAAGCTATGTGGCAACATTCTACAGAGCCTCTAATATATGTCCAATTTGTAAGATACATGTTCTAACTTGGAATTTAAGTTTCCTATATGTCTACCATATTATTAGCTTGTACCATAAGCTATTAACATGTTGTCGTGTTGTAATTCAACTACTATGTGAAAATAATGTACATATATATATATATATATATATATATATATAATATATATAATTTATTATACAATGTGGTATTAAATTTTAGTTGAATGCAAAATGTGATTAGATTACTACTTTGAAGTAGTTAGTCTAAAAGAGCTACTATTGAAGTTGATTTTTATGTTGATAATAGCTTTACCATACTTAGAGCCACTTATAGTAGACATTGGTGACTTTTAAAATCTTGTTTTACTTCTTTTATTTGATATTTAGGACACACGTTATATAAAACTTATTAGAAAGAAGATTAGAGAAAGGTTTTGGTATCAAAAAAAGTAGTTAGACCATCTATGTGAATAAATAGAAATGGATGATGAAAATCTCCATTCCTATTGGCCAAAAATCATGCCCAATGGACTTCAAGGACGGTGCCTGAAGCCTTATTAGAAATTAGAATTAATCTTTCATGGACATTTGAATATTAAAGGCAAGAATCAACAAGTTTAAGTTTTTTGGATATAATTTTGGTAAAAAATTTGTGTAATTTGGAGTTTTTATGAAGTAGATATAGGCACTCAAAGTCAAGGTGTCAATTTTGTACCTATTATTATTCTAAGGAACATGACACACGTATACAAAAAGTAATGAAAGTTTAGTAATCAATTTTTAAAAGAGCACTTTTTTGGCTATATTTTATATATACTATTGAATAAATTCTTAGTTAGGATAAAAGGGATATTGAAAGTTGAAGTCAGCACTTAAAACTTAAAGGTAGTAAGTGACATAATTTGCTAATAGTTGTATTTTGAGCTATATTTCAAGTAATTTGGTATGTAATTTGCTCAAAAATTTTAAAAATATATATTATCATGTTATTAAGTTATGTAATTTTTTTTGTAGAATTTAAATTTTGGATTTTTAAGGAATAAAGAAAGTAGTACTTTGATGCTTGTAAATTCGGATTTAGAATACTTTTTAGGATTTCTAAGATGCCAGACGATCAATAATGAATTTATGGTTTATTTTTTTTGTAGTAAAACTTAATGATATATATTATATTATCTAAAAATTATAAAAAATTGAATAGTTGGATCAAGAGATATAAAATTCTAAATTTTGAGAGAAAAAAAAATTGTATAGAAAAAAAAATATTTTAAAGGAATTTTGCTATAATTTGAATATTTTATGCAAAATCAAGGGATTTTTGGGAGCCAAGACTTTAAATATATGTTAAAGATGGATATATAGATCTATGATAAAATTTTGATATAAAAATAAGTTTTAAAAATAAATTATGGATTTTCTTTAAAATAATTAAAAATCTAACTTATTAGCAAATGATTAGTGATAATTTAATATAGAAAAAGATGTTATAAAATTTTTAAATGAGCTAAAAAGCCTTATGTAAAAATCTTCTTAAATATAAAAGGTTTTTACTAGTAGAATATCTTTTGATATTATTTATATATATTTTATATTAAAAATAATTCACTTATAAGAGATTTTTCAATAAGTTAAAGCTAAATTTTCCATAGTTAGGTACCCAATATATTCTTAGATTATAAATCATACCATACAATAATGTGCAATATGTAGCTAATTTATCAATCACCTATAAATACATATAAAGGTGAAATTACATCTATGAAGCTTCTAAAAAACTTTTCTATAAGATATTATTAAATTAAATTATTTTTATTTATTCATAGTATCTAAATAACTATTGAAATAAATACATATATCTTAGATATGACATCCCTTCTTCTAGGGATAAATTTTGCAAAGAATGGCAATCACAAGTTTAGGAAGTTTAAGATATGGCAAATTGTATTTTTTACATACTTTAATCTTTATTCTCTTTAAAGATAGTTGCTAGGTCTTTTTAAATATTAATAATGTCTCATTCTAGGGCAAGAGGACCACTCTATTATTTGATCATTCTTAAGGCCTTTGTAACTTCTTTGAAATAAAATACTTGTAATATCATTAAGAATCATTCTTATCTATAGTAAAATCACCAACTATTGGGAGTTTCTTCCAAGGTCGTCATACCAAACATATTATATCTTGTTATTTCTTTGAAAAAAAACATGTTATTCTTGAAAATCTTCATCTCGATTATGACATCTTAAATACTATAATTATTGTAATGTCTTGTTTGATAAGTTAGTAAATGATGGCTTATGAGTTGAATCTACTAACTATTGATTCTCTATCTCTTTAGCACCATAACTAATCATTTGACAATAAGCTTGATTTTCAATGCGCTCAAAGAAAATCTGTAATCTCCTTTCAAAAATCTATCTTGATATTATAATTTTGTTATAACTCTATATCTCTATTTTTCACAAACTAAGTATATTACTTAATATTATCTAAAAAAACAAGATAATCATAAAATAAAGAAGATGGTTGCCAAAAAAGACATTGTATCAAAAAACGAGTTTTACCAGCTACAATAGGAATTGTGTAGCTGGAATCATGTGCAACATCTAATTAAGATCTTGTTCTCTCTTCAGATCCATCACCTTGTTTTATAATAGATGTATATTTAGGACCTAAAAATCATAAAATCTTTGTCTTGTTAGATTCAAGAGCCTCAATTTATTTTATAGATAAAGACTTTGTCAAAAAATAAGAAATATCGTTAGTCAAGAAAACTAAATCTATACATGTAGAAATCATAGATGGTTGTTTATTGTCTTTTGGAAATATTACCAATGAGATTATTTCTGTAGATGTTGCAATTGAAGATCATAATAATTCCTTTAGATGTAGCAATTAATGTAATAACATTTAATGTGATAAGATCTATTCTCAACCTAGTTATTTTAGAATTATTATGGTTAAAAATATAAAATCCTCAAATAGATTAGAGTTCTTCTAACCTTAATTTTTCTTTTGGTTTAATCTAAATTTTTATTAGTGAAGTAGAAATATATAAGTCTAATACATCTAAACCTTTATTGATAGGTGCAAGAATTTTTATGTATGCTGCAAAAGAAGGGTCATTATTTGATATATATGCTATATCCATTTTTGATGGTGGAAAGACATCAAGTCATATTCCTAACTAATATTAAGATTTTCATTATGTTTTTGAAAAAAAGAATGCAAATATATTTTCAAAGCATTGACCTTACGATTGTTCAATTGATTTATAAGAAAGAATTCAACTACCATTCACACTAATCTATAGCTTATGATAGAATGAATTGGCTATACATAAAGAATATATTGATAAAAACTTGACTAATAACTTTATATGTCATTCAAAATCTCCAACATGAGCTCTTATTTTATTTGTGAAGAAAAAAGATAGATATTTGCAGATGTACATAGAT